TTTTTTGAATAAAGGAAAACAGTAGAGTTAAACAGAGCCTAGAGTCTGCGCAACTCACCACGTTTGACACACTCCCCCAAGAAGCTGTCAGTGTCATGCCGGAACTCACCATCCAGATTTGCAGGGGCAGTTAGATAATCTGGTACCCGTGCCCTGCAAGCATGACATATTGCATTGCAAGAGTAATGGCAAGACAGTTGAAGCCACTCCTTAGCTAGCTGCACCCCACAGTTAAAATATATATACATGAATCATTATCCCCAAGAAAAAAACACATATGAACAAATCATTTGAGAATCCTGTTGCCACTTCCAATCACCTCTGATCTCTGTGATGGCATATTTTCGCAACTCCTCACCCACACCAGCGCCTTCGTTGTACAGAATCATCAAAGATTCCAGCACCTGGGCCACGACACAGCTATGGTGTTTGGCAGCAATCCGACAGCCTTTGTTTCTTGGCTTGCAGTTCTGGCCTATAGGAGCAAAGGAAAATGTGACCTGTTTTGTCACCAAGTTACCACTTGCAATATCCCTTGGACAGTGGTGAAGCCTGCTTTGAGTTCCTTGGGGGTGGCACTATCCAAAGCCTAAAGTAGTACTGGTTTGTGCACTTAGGGAAAACAATCCTCAAATTACAAGGAGTCACAATGCCAAAAAACTCATTGATTTGAGGGAAAGCGTCAGACCGGCATAAAGCCAGAGGATAACAAACCTCAACACTGAATTTTCTGGCATCCACAACACAGCCTATGCAGATCAGTAGAAGCTCATCACCATTTTCTCGGAACTGGCACTCATCGCCCCAAATCCAAAGAGGGATATGAGAATGGTCTGGACTGATTGATGCCAACGGACTCTGGTGTGACTCTAGGTTCTGCCAGTAAGTTTCCACGTCAGCTGGGTCAATTCTTGGCCAACATGGCTCACATACCAGCTTGTGCGGCAAAACGACTGGATGCTTCCTCCACAAACAAAGGCCCAGGGACTTGATACAGAAACACTCCAGGGGTTTTCTAGATAGAGCCAGTGGTATGGTTGCGACTTAACACAACTGAGCACCAACAAAAAGACTTCCTTCACCCATCCATTTCCCTAGGTCCTCATTTCAACTCCATTTGGTCCATATTGCTTTTGGACAGGAACTTCAATCCAATCGATGACCACCTGATGCAGTCCAAGAGCGCATGTGACCGTTGCACCCCTACAACAACAAAAACTATTAACAGGCCTTGGGGTGAACATGCAATAGATAAACACATTACATTTGCCGACACATAGGCCTGATTTGGATCATTCTTGATCACCTTTCTCATAATGTCTCGATGGACATTAGAGGCATATTTCCCAGAACACCCTGCCGACCGAAGGGAAGCACATGGCCCTTGCATTTCCACACCATGGAGCTTGAACTCCTGCATGGGATCTCAACCAAAAAACATAGTTCAGAAGCAAGCGGTGTACTGTGTTCACGACCAACATGTGCACAATTCCCACTCCTTCCCAACAAACTCGAGAAGCCTCTGAGTTTTTGCAAATGAAGATTCCTAAGAAGCTTGAACTAACATGTTGGAAACCAGCATTGAATATCCATCCAGTATATATTTATTATATCAGTGGTTTTACATCCACCAAAAAAAAAAGTTGTCAAATCTGCGGACTGGGCTCGCCTAGACCAGCCTCCTTGAGCAAGAAGGCATATAGCGGTGTAGACTTTGCTTTTGATAAATCAGCACCTGCGGGGGGAACTGCACTCTTTGTTTCTACCATGTGGTGAACCCAGCGGTGTAGACTTTGCTTTTGATAAATCAACACCTGCAGGGGGAACTGCACTCTTTGTTTCTACCAGACCACGTGGTGAACCCAGTTTACCTTTTAGCTTGAAGTTTCATGACACTGCGACCATCCACGTGTTCAAACTGATCAGTGGACATGTTGCACCCCAATCCAGAGCCAAGCTGCCCAGCTCACTTTGTTGTGCCACTAGTATGGTCATGTTGCACATATGGGTATTCCGATGTTCTGCACCGGCAAGCCCACACAGCAGGGTCAAAAGAATTGACAGCCAGCTTCTAAACAAACGGCACAGCATTATCATTAGTCAAACAAACCTCAACATAGCTTGCATGGCTGTGTCAGATCTTGTGAAGATCTACCCCCAGCACACTGGATCCAAATTGCCCAGTGCTCATGTCTGCTGCTGTACACCTTCAGTCTCAGGTGAACTCGGCTGCGCCTTGCCTTTGGCTT